TATTATACAGGAGTGGACGGGTTGGCATGCGTGGGAAAGACATTGGGTATACTGGAAGGAACAGGGGTACAATTCTCATGCAACAGAGTTCTGGAGGCGACACTGGCAATAATCCGAGAAGGACAAATAACTTGTCAAGTTATAGGTCCATTTATTGAGCAACCGTTTGGGAATGACAGTCGTGTTAAAATTATGGTTCATTGGGATTGCACCAATGTGAATGTAGACTATGTAGTGACACATAGAAAAGATATACTGTCTGGGGTGGCTATCCAAGGCAATTCAAGAAAATTGGTTGAATCGTCATTAGTTGTACAAGGGATGACATGATACAGGAGGGGGATAGCAAAAAAAGGGCATTGAGAGAACCAGGCAGTGGTTTTCTCGGGGGCTGGGGCCCTTCATAATTTTCAGGACCCATAAGAAACTTATTACCCCACATCCTCCAGTGATTAAAACCACACCAGAACCCAGATGAAGTGAATCTCAGTACATGATGGGAGGTGCGGGTGTGGTGCAAGAGGAGACAGGAGAATCTGTCACTTTGGTACCAGGATATCGGCATGTCCAGGTCGTCTTTAATTTAACTGAAATGACTGCACCAGAATGTTGCCCATCTGCCACAAAACAATTACTTGTCCACCTCCTTGATGAATAATTGAGCAGGAGTGAAATTAATTCCAACAAAAATAGAAAGAAAAGAGGACTATTGGAGTGGGCAGGGGCAGGATATGCATCAGGACTGGCAAGCGTCAACACCTTGTACATAGCAGAATGAGAACGTCAGATACAATCCCTCCAGCAGAAAATGCAGGTCATTACTGGGGAAGGTTATTTAGACCAGACTCTGACCAACCAGATGGCCTGGGATGTGTCACTAGTCACCCTGGACACTGTTAAATTTCTAAAACCTTTACAGGATACAACGAATTTAATCATTGATTGTGTGGCCAATACTTTGAGGAGGCCCATAAGGCTGAGGTGTGTATCATATATACTAGCTGGGTATTAACTATGATCGGGACTAATTTGTCACAGTTGCATGCTCACCAAGTCCCAGACTGAGTATTGGATAACAGTTAATAAAGCCGGTTGGAGAAAAGGAACCCCTACGTCACCTCAGAAGTTTGACTTTAACTAATAGGGCGTTAGGTACTTGTGACAATGATAAAGGGATACATTACGCTAGAGCAGTGTTTTATATTTCCCAACACGGAAATAATTTGACCTACCCTTTAAAAAGAGTTCACAATGTGGGAAAGTACCATGAAGGTACTTGGATATCTTTAAGTAACCCACCAGCTCATGCTATTGTAAGGGATGGTGCTGAGAAAGCGGTAGATTTTTCAAAATGTCACCAAAGAGGGGATCACTGGGCCTCTGTTGTGACCAGATAACGAGGCAGAAGCTTACAGATTGCGGTTTCAGTACCTGTGAAAATTGTTTATTATTCATTCTGCCTGTTAGTAACCAGTCTTTTCTACAATATGTCCTTGTGGTGGAAACGCATCACATAGTCACAGCAGCCATGAATTCTACCAAGGGACGGCGACAATGCCTCTGGAAGGACACAATGTGGGTATTAATAATGTGACCTCTGATTTGATGATTGGTGGACAAACGCTGCCCCAGCCAATAATCAGGGTGGTGATAAGAGAAAAGCACATGATCTAACATACCAATACAGACCAAGATATAAAGAGGTAGTCGGAACTGCCGATGCTGGAGAATCTGATATAACAAGGTGTAGAGCTGGATGAACATAGCAGGCCAAGCAGCATCAGAGGAGCAGGAAAGCTGACGTTTCGGGTCTAGACCCTTCTTCAGAAATGGGGGAGGGGAAGGGGATTCTGAAATAAATAGGGAGAGAGGGGGAGGCGGATAGAAGATGGATAAAGGAAAAGATAGGTGAAAAGACAGACAGGACAAAGAGGCGGGGTTGGAGCCAGTAAAGGTGAGTTTAGGTGAGGAGTTAGGGAGGGGATAGGTCAGTCCAGGGAGGACGGACAGGTCAAGGGGGCAGATGAGGTTGGTAGGTAGGAGATGGGGGTGGGGCTTGAAGTGGGAGGAGTGGAGAAGTGGGAGGAAGGACAGGTTAGGGAGGCGGGGACAAACTGGGCTGGTTTTGGGATGCGGTCGGGGGAGGGGAGATTTTGAAGCTTGTCAAGTCCACATTGATTGTTCTCACTGAACAACAACCCATCCCGCACCTGACAGCAGATTGGACGATTATCGTGGGTGAGGCAAAAGAAATAATTCATCAATGGACGAAACGCACTAAATTAATTAGAACTGATGCTGAAAAAGCAAAGGAGTAGTTGCGGGACCCTAGGTTGTGGGATAGATTCTGGAATTGGGGAACCAGTGTTCAAATACATCCATGGATTAGAATTCTGTTGAATGCTGCTGTAGTAGTGATTCTATGTACATTAGTAATCGTCATAGTCAATGTATGTCCACCGTAAAAGGTGAAAAAAATGAAACTGTATGAAGATTGGAAGTTGAGGCTATAATGAAACAGAAGGAACGTTATGAAAACACAGTGTGAACTAAGTTATATTCACGTTTTTCATATATGCTTTTTGTTTCCTGTACACGTGTAAGTTTTTATACAAATTTTAACAATTTAACAATTCCCCATTGGGGAATACTGACAGTCTCAGGAATGCTCCACAGAAAAGGGACAGAGAATGATCCTAAGATAAGTATCTTTGGATCAAGAAGGGGGAGATGTCAGCCAGAGGCTGCAGAGGGCTAGAAAAAGAGAGAGAACAGTACAAACTACCGGCATTGCTGCCTGGGGAGATGTTAGCCAGAAGCTGCAGAAAGATAAAGAGAGAGAGGGGTACCAGCTGCCAACATCGCTAAAAAGAGGTACTGAATGCAAAGGTGCTGACATGAAGAAAGAAGCAGCTTGTGACCTAAAAATGAACTGCACCCAGGTGCTAGTTTGAGCCAATTTAAACTGGTTTGAATTAACTAAGTTCTGCAAAAAGTAAGAAAGATGAGATAATGCAAAAGCCTTGTTTGGATAAGAAATGATGAGATAATGCCACCTACATCTCTGGGCCGGGGCCAATAAGGTAAAGGCGTGCGATAAGTGAATTAGCCTGAGCCAATGGGAAGAAGACAGCACGACTTGACAGAGATAAGAGAAAAAATAAAAAGAAGACCCTTGGGGCACACACCCAGCAAAAACTCCAGAGTCCAACCATACCAGAAGCAGACCCTACATCAAGGACGTGGTGACGACATCGAGTGCAGCACCCGGCCAGCCTCAGCCCTCATCAGCAGCAGCAGCTATCCTGATCGGATATTGGCGTTTCTATTCTGTGACTACTTAGAGAGCGTCAGAGGATTCCAGTGGGTACATAAGTAGGTCCTAGATCAGTTTGTGGGAAAATATATAAGATCCAGTTTTGAGATAAAACATTTAAGTAACATGTGCCTTGTTTAATACACTAATAAAGTAATTTGTGAGGTTACCAGAATTGACTCCTCCTCTCTGTATAAGCTGATAACCAGAGTTGGTGTTTTCTGGGCTCCCGACAACAATGTATTTATAAAGATATAATTTGATAAGAAAGATCTTCAAGTGTTAAAGCTTTCATGCAGATGGAACTGATCTCCCTGTTCTTTCATTCTTCAGGTTTTTGCCCTCTGCCATAAAAGGTGCAACTTTGATTGCTTATTCATCCTTTGTGGCATAGTATTCTGTGTTACAAGCCATATAAGAAGATTTGTTGTCACCCTTCCACCATTCTCAGAGATTATTTAAAATTAACAACACCTCATTAATTACTGCCAAAACAATGGATTTATCCTTACTCGTATACAAAATCCTCTTAATTTGAATATGTTTCATGAAATCTACTCTTAGCTTCCTCTGTCTGGGGAATATTATGCCACTGCCTGCTGTCTCATCAGAACTAACTTTCCATTTTGCCCTGAAGATATAATGCTAAGGACTGAAGTGCAACCTTGTCCCAATAGCCAACAGAATGAAGCTAACTAAGATTCAAACCAGACCAGTGGGACTATTGCACTAGACAGACCTCAGTCTCTAAAAGACCCAAGTCCCAGGCAAATCCCAATCCTTGCCAGACTCCAGTTTCATACAAATCCAAGTACCAGACAGACTCTGACCCCAGATAAAACTATTTCTAGTCAGACCCTAATCCCTGGCCAGATCCCAATTCCAGTAAAACCAAAGTACCAAACAAACGTAAACACCAGATGGAACAAGTTCCCAGATAAACTTTAATCCAAGACATACCTCAATTGCAGAGACATTCTGATTTTAGCCAAATCATGGTCCCAAACACATCCCAATTCCAGACACACCTTAATGCCAGAGAGACCCCAATCTTAGACATACCCAAATTCCAGGCAGACCCCAATCCCATAGACAATCCAGTCCCAGATAGACCTTAATCCCTGGCAGACACCAATCCTGAAGACATCCTAATCCCAGACAGACTCTAATCCCAGTCATACTTTAATACTAGGCAGATTCCAATCCCAGAGACACCCCAATCCCAGGCAGATCCTAATCCCAATACCAGAGAGACCCCAATCCAGAGACACCCCATTCCCAAACAGACCTTAATCCCAGACAGACCCTAATACCAGGCAAACTCCAAGCCCAGACAGAGTTTAATTCCAGGCAGACCTCAATCTCAGAGACACATCAATCCCGGACATTCTCTTACGCAAAGGCAGACTGCAGTCCCAAACATACAGATTCTGGGCAGGTACACCAAGACCTCCGGAACATGTTTGCTCAGGGATGGCTGGACCTCGGCTCCACAGGATGAACCTGTGTAAACAGCAGCCTCCTCCCAGGGATTTCACCCTGTGTCACGGCGCGGAGCTGGGCTCTGGGCCTGGTGACTGTGGGCCGCTCTCTCCGTCTTTGCTCAGGCTAGGACCGGACACAACTCGGGGTCCGGTCCACACACACATATCAGCAGATGGAGCCGTGCCAAGCGGTTTCTAACCTCCGATATTCGACATAAGAATCGACAGCGGCCGCCGCCTCCTCGTTCAAACTGATCCGCTCCATCCGCCTGTTGCTGAGCAACGGATCACCCAGCAACCAGAAGGACACGAGGGTGAAGAGAGTACACGGTGAACATAGACAATACACTGAATATACTATTACAGAGTACATCGTGCACTGGGTATACTATTACTATACTAAGTACTACACTGAGCACGAAATTTAATACAATGTATAAATATTCACAGTATGTGACATAAGCAATACGCACAATTTACAACAAACGCAATACATACAGTGAATACAACACTCACCAAATGCAACACATAGTATTCACAAAGTTCATAGTAAATGTACTGTGCAGAATGTGGAGTAAATTTAATAAAATTTACACAGTGTAGTTAATCTAATATACACTAAGTAGTAAATACAGTACATGGTCAACGCAAGTATGTATTATATATCTTGTAGGTGCGCCTTCAATGCACGAGATAGTAGGAACTGCAGATGCTGGAGAATCTGAGATAACAAGGTGTGGAGCTGGATGAACACAGCAGGCCGAGCAGGAAAGCTGACGTTTCGGGCCTAGACCCTTCATCCAGCTCCACATCTTGTTACCTTCAATGCACAATATGTACACTATAGCTCGAGGAGTTGTGTCAATATACAATATGAATCGTACAATTGGAGCGAGGCAAATTTCTTAGGTATACTGGAGAACTATACTATCATAAAGGCAAAATACTGCGCGTGCTGAAAATCTGGACAGTGGTTCTGAAGTCATGTTAGACTCGAAACGTTAGTTGTTTCTCTATAGAAGCTGCCAGACCTGCTGAGCTTTTCCACCATTCTCTGTTACAGCCATACTGTTCTCACTGTTGCAATCGGCAGGACAGGGAGTACTAATGCTGCTTGTACACCGTCTTCCATTCAACCCCTTCTCTCTCTCCCAAACCCCACTGCTCTCCACTCCCTCCCCAATACTTTCTTTGCTCTCCCTCTCTCTTCTCCGGCAAAGTGTTTTTGCACTATCTGAAGCCTTGTTTTGTTTAAAGGACTAATTTTATTCAGATTAATGTAACTTATTAACTTCTTCACATTCAAAATAATTTACATCATATCACTTCTGCCCCCAATGTTGTATCAAAATTGATAAGGAGGAGGCATTGGAGAGGCCATGGGTACTTAAATTTGACAAGTCATCAGGATTAGATGAACTGGACAGAAGCTAAACAATTATCAATTGGTCAGTTTAACTTCAGTGGTTTGGAGGCTTCTAAAAACTGTTTGGGATAGTAATCAGATGTGGTAATGTGTTTTGTTTAGGAAGAGCCAGCATAGATTTCTAAAGGAAATCCTGTTCAACTAACTTGCTGGTGTGTCTTGAAATGGCAACGGAAATGGTCAATGTGGTAATGATGTTCATATGATGTATTTGTGTCCACCATCTACAAGACACAAGTCAGGAGTGTGATGGAATACTCCCCACTTGCCTGGATGAGTGAAGCCCCAACATTCAAGAAGCTTGACACCATCCAGGACAAAGCAGCCCACCTGATTAGCACTGCATTCACAAACATCCTCTCCCTCCACCATCGATGCTCAGTAGCAGCAGTGTGTATATCTACAAGATGCACTGCAGAAATTCATCAAAAATCCTCAGACAGCACCATCCAAACCCATGACCACTTCTACCTAGGAGGACAAGGGCAGCAGATATATGGGAACACTACCACTTTCAAGTTCCCTCCAAGCCACTCACCATTCTGACTTGGAAATCTATTGCCATTCCTTCACTGCAGCTGGGTCAAAATCTTGGAATTCCTCACCTAATGGCATTGTGGGTCAATCCACAGCAGGCGGATTACAGAGGTTCAAGAAGGCAACTAGGGACAGGCAATAAATGTTGGCCAGCCAGCAATGCCCTCATACTGCAAAATGAATAAACAAAAAAAATGTAGATTTTCAAAAGGCAATCAATACTGTGCCACACATCTTTGTGACAATTGTTATGGCTCATGGAATAAAATAGACAATAGCAATGTGGTTACAAGATTGATTGAGTGATGGGAAACAGAGAGTAGTGGTCAATGGAAATTTTTCTGGCTGGAGGAAGGTTTGTAGTAGAGTTCCACATGGACCATCAATACAAGGACTTTGGCTTTTCTTGATATACAATAATGATCCATATATTGGTATACAGGAAATAATTTCGATGGATGGTATGAAACTTGGAAGTATTGTATACTCTGAGGAGGACAGTGTGGAGGACCTAAAGGGCTGTCCTTCGATAGCTCAGCTGGTGGAGCGCAGGATTGTAGTTGTCTCAAAACAGTCATCCTTAATTGGTTCAGCTCTGGCTCAAAGGTGTCAGAATGTTTTGAGAGCTTTACTCTGTATCTAACCAGTGCTGTACCTATCCTTGGACAGGGGATGGGAACTATGTAGAGGAAACTTTATTTTTACCCTAAAAGAGCACAGAAAGCTTTACTTTCAGTTTTAAAAGAATAGACAGTGCTTTACTCTGTATCTTACTCCATATTGTAACCATCCTGGTAGAGTTTAATGGGGACAGTTTTGGGGGTGCTTTACTTCCAGTTTACTTTCAGTTTCAAAGAATACAGGAAACTTTACTCGGTATTCAACCCGGTGCTGTTCCTGTCCCAGGAGGAAGTGATGGGAACAGTGGTGACAGACCTTTATTTTCTGTTTACTTTTAGCAGAAGCTTTGCTGTGTATCTAACCCCATGCTGTCCTTGTCCCAGAAGTTCAAGGGAGCTTTCAGTTTAAAGGAGTAAGAGCATTTTTAATTTCAGATTAAAAGAGTATAAGGGGTCTTAATCTGTATCTGATGCTGTACTGTATCTGTCCTGGGATTGTTTGATAGGGGCAGTGTCGAATGAGTTTGACTTTCAGTTTACTTTATGTTTCAAAAGAGTAGAGAGAACCATACTCTGTATCTAACCCAATGCTGTCCCTGTCCTGAGAGAGTTTGATGGGGACAGTGCAGGGAGTGTTCTACTCTGTATCTGACCCCATGCTGTTCCTACCCTGGGAGTGATTTTGATGAAGACAATGTCAAGAGAGCTTTGCTTTCAATTTAACAGTACAGGGAGCTTTATTCTGTATCTAACCCCATGCTGTACCTGTCCTGAGAGTGTTTGATGGGGACAGCTAGAGGAAGCTTTACTCTGTTTCTAACCCATGCTGTACATGGGATTGTTTCATTAGGACAGTATTGAGGGTGCTTTACTTTCAGTTTATTTTCAGTTTAAAAAAGTAGAGGTCAAAAGGATATACACAAGTTGATGGAGTGGTCAGATAGGTGGCAGATGAAGGTCAATGTGGAGAAGTGCAAAGTGATGCATTTTGGTAGGAAGAACATGGACAGACAATATAAAATAAGAAGCACAATATTTAAGGGAGTTCAAAGTAGAGGTCTTTGGTGTATGTGTATATAGATCAGTAAAGGTTCCTAGACAGGTGGAGTCATTAATAAGCATACAGTATCCTGAACATTAATAATCAGAGCATAGAGTACAAGAACAGGAACATTATACTGAATTTATACAAAACACTGGTTCAACCTCAGCCAGAGTATTGTGTACAATTCTGGGTGTTTTTAGGAACAACGTGAATGCATTGGAGAGAGCATACAAAAGATTTACAAAAAATGGTTCCAGGGATGAGAAAGTGGAGATTTGGACTGTTCTCTTTGGAGAGAAGGCCCAGAGAATTGATGTTTTCAGAATCATGAAGAGTCTGAATAGAGTAGATGGGGAGAAACAATCCGCATTCCTGGAATGAGTGGGCATTGATTTAAAGTGATTTGCAAATGTAACATATGTGATGTGAGAAAAAGTTTTTTTTTCCAAACAAATTGTTTTGTGTCTAGAAGGTATTGCCTGGAACTGTGGTGGGGGCAGAATCAATTGATATATTCAAGAATGCATTGGATTATTATTTAAACGGAAACAACGTAGAAAGTTATGGGAGAAAGGCAAAAGAAGGGTACTAATTCATAGAGTTGGTACCGGCTAAATGGCCCCCTCCTACATTGGAATAATTTCGTTTCTACAAATTCCTGCCCCACCCTGAGGTTTAAACGGCCAGTCAGGCCGTACATACGCAGTACGCGAGAATAGGGGCTGCTGGGATGGATGTTGAGGAATCGGATGTCAGCGGGTGAGTGAGGGCGAGTGTAGTGGCATTGTGTCACAATGGATTAGGGGCGGCAGAGCACAACCTCTGCCCGGGTCTTTACTCGTTCGCGGGGTTTCCCGGCCTTGGTCCCTGCCCATCCTCGGGGTCGATAGTGATGTCCCAGTGCGATAGTGGTGCTTCAGTCAAGTGAGTTATTACTGGACCCTGGCTCCCCGGATAAGAAGACTGGGCCTCCCAGTGGTTTTAGAACATAAACGCATGAGGAGTCAGTGAGTTATTTGATTTTGGCAAAATACAGCATGCCGATCTCTGATTCCCCGCAGTAATCTTTTGTGAGAAACTGTCTTAATGCCTTGTCCGTCATCTTTGATCATTCTTCCCCACTTGCAGCTACTTGCCCCTCACTTCCGGTTGCAACGTTGCCAAAAGTTAGGTGGTGTCGGCGTACTCTTCGCTGTGACAAATCAACTAGGTAAACAGAGTACCTTCTCGTACTCAAAGCGGGAAGATGCTCAACTTTAAGCAAGGTCAGAAATCACAGGACGCCAGGTTATATTCCAGCAGGTTTATTTGAAAACACAAGTTTTTGGATACTCAGCCCTTCTTCAGGTGTTAGTGAGAGAGGTAGAATCAGACACAGAATTTATGGGTTAAAGATCAAAGGTTCACACCATTGATGAGAATTACTAAACAAACCTAAGATGCTGTTAAATCTTTAATCAGTTTGAAAATTTTGGTTGATATGTTTATGTAAATCCCTGAATTTCTTTTGAGTCACGGTCCTGAGAGAGCTAAGGTTTTATCAGTGTGAAGAAAAGGTGACATTTTAGGTCAGACAATGCATGTTAGGTGTGAGACCTTGTTTAGAATCTGTTTGTGTTTTAGTTTGGAGTCAAACTGGTTTTATTTCTAAAGTAGGAA